TGTGTGTGTGTGTGTGTGTGTGTGTGTGTGTGTGTGTGTGTGTGTGTGTGTGTGTGTGTGTGTGTGTGTGTGACTTGTGTGTGTGTGTATGTGTGAGGATGGAGCCTCAGAAATGAAGTGGAAGGTTTCAAACCGCAGGGTGTATGATCCGGGGCCAGTGGACTGATCCTAAGAACACAGAGGGCATATTCACACTAGTAGCTTTTCCGGTACAGCGGCAATTTGAGAGGTTGGGCCAGTCACACCTCAAGCACTACCAACCCAACCCGTTTCACCACGCCAAATGTCAGCAGCCTGCCCAGCCGCAGGCAGTGTTATCTTGTAGGCACCCCCAGAGGTGCCTCGATACCCTTGCCTTGATTCTTGAGAGAGATTTAGGGCAATAAGCTATGTGCACTTGTCTGGAATTACATCCACAGATCGATTGAAAAAGTCGGTGTGTCAGTATGCTGGTACTATGCCCTCAACAGAGTCCAAAGCGCAAATTTTATTCTTTTCTTATGTTCTTCTCTCAAATTCTTTTTCTTGCCTTTCACTCTACCTTCCTACCACTACTCCTAAGACTATATATAGAGGGGACCCCTGCAAGCATAGGGCCTCGCAAACGAGGTAAATCATGTGGCCCCCCGCCCCAACCATGGTGATCAAGGATGGGGTGGGGCCGCCGGTGGGGGGGTCCGGCTAAAGCAAAGACCGAGCATTTTGCCAGTAGCTGTGCCTCCCTTTCTCATCGTCCCCCACCCCTCATCGAGTAGCAGTCTTCCGCCTCTACTTCTTCCTTTCTGAAAACTGGGCATACTATGAGTATTTAAAGCATACTCATTCGCAGACCTTTTGGACTGAGCTCTGGGCGTAATCACGGTCAGATACATCCAGGTCAAATTTGAATTCCGGTCAGATACATCCAGGAAAGTCCTAGCACCAGTATGCCCTAATAATACCACTAAACTAGTGTTTGCCTGCCCTCCAAACCTGGCAAAGTTGTGAGGAGGAGGGTATTACTCTGAGGGCATACTCACACAAGTACTTTCCTGGATGCATCTGACTGCAACTACAGCCAGAAACTGAATGTATCTAAACGCAATAAATTAGAGGGCTCCCCTGGAAAGTCCATTTCTCGATTTATGTGTGTCATCCTTGAGTGAGCAGGGGCCATGCTAATCTTCTTTCTCTGTATCGTTCCAATTTTAACGGATGTCCCAATGGACCCCTGGAAAGTCCTGGTGTGAGTATGCCCCGAGCGTTCAAATAAAAAAGAAACAAAAGTTATGGACCCGTTTTCCAGCAGGTGCTGCTCCCCACCAAGCGACTGGAGCTTGTGTTTTGTTTTTTTTGTTTTTTTTTTTCTTTTCGAAGTTTTTGCATGCGTAGTCATCTTCTCTCTACACAACCGGCACTTTCGTTGGACTTTCACCGAATCGTCAGGAGTTTGGTAACTTTCGTCGGACTTTCACCGAATCGTCAGGAGTTTGAACCTGGACAGACAGTCTTCCCAGGATGCATTTGACTGATGGATAAGGACTCGCCACATCGCCCAGCGTTAGCGACACCCCTGAGAGAGAAAAGTGGTTGACTTTATTCACACGAACCCTGTAATCATCGCGGACTGTCGGTCGAGGGGGTAGTCCAGCGTTTTAACCCCCACTATCTCCAGCCGGTTAGACCACCAGTAACTTTGAGTCTTTGACCCTTTCCTTGTCGAGCCTGGAAACGCCCTGCATGCCAAAAAAAAGAAGAAGGGGAAGCTACGCGAGAGTCACAGAAACGAGTTATAATTGCACTACGGGCCAAGATACAGTTTCGAATTGCAGTTGGGCAATGTATACAATCCATCTTTCTGGCCAGGTAGGATGCCTGAAGTGCAATTGCAAACTGTATCTTGCCCCATAGTGCAATTATAACTCGAAAGAATCAGCGCAGGCCTTCTTTTGGCTGGCGGCCTCAGCCATTTTGCCCCTGTACGCGGACCCCCAAGGATGGCTCAGTCTTCAAAAAATGGCTGGGAAACATACTGGTGGATTAACATGGGCCACAGAAAGGCTCTGAGTGCCCCTTGGGATAAGGCTGAGGGGGGGCGCTGGGCAAATCATGTGCCCCAGCAGTTCGGATTTCGCCAGATCGGGCAAGAAAGCACATCGAAAACATGAGGCTCTGACCCATTGGTGACTGGCCACAGGTAATTCTGACTGTTTCATTTGATTTTTTTTATTTTATTTTTTTCTGATTTATGATTTATCGAAAATTTTGGACCATTTCTCGATTTATGCGTGTCATCCTTGCGCAGGGGCCTGCTAATCTTCTCTGTATCGTTCCAATTTTAACGGATGTCCCGAAGGACGTTTCATTTGATTATTAACATTTGCAACTTGATTAAAATTTTCCTCTGAGTTCCGTTCTTTTCCCACAGTTTATTATACAAGCCGGGAAACGGACCCGGCGTCCCTTGACAATTGTTGTTGTATTCTCCTACGAAGGAGGGCATCACCGGCTCAACATGTACTAAGGGGAAACACAGTGGTCCCCCTGCTAAAAGCTAGAGCAAAAAGCAGAAACCAAAGTATAACAGACAGAAACTAGATTGTAACAGACAGTGGGTGGGCGGACGCACGCACGTGGGGGGGTGGGCAGGCGCACACACTCGCGTGGGTGGGTGGGT